CTCCTTTCTTTTTCTATGACATTGTCTTTTTCAGGACTCCAGGCCAGTTTTCCTTTAGACTGGTCTGCATTGTGGATTTAGCAATTGTTTCCTCTTGGTTTTATTTAACTTACTTCTCTAACCAACCCACCCCGTGTTTTCTATAAAGTGGGAGTTAGTTCAGAGGCCCTCTGTAAAACTGTTGTAGTTGGTATTATTATTATTGGTCCTGATTCTATCCTAGCCTTTCCTGTCAGGTGATTAATACCTCCCCACCCTTTGCTATTTGACTTGCAGAACTTCTTTTTTTTTGCAGAGGGAATAAACTTCATTTTTCCATGAACAGCAGGCACTGCTGTATGACTTCATGCTTTGGCCATTAAAATTCGAGTGGCTATGACTCTACTCTTCCCTGCAGAAGCCTAAGAATTGCAGCAGGCTTCCACCACTTTCTTTTTCTCTCTACCATGAGGTTGACATGTTCCAGATGGAGGCTGCGCTTGTGCCTAGATCCCATGGTGACTGTAATGCAGAGCAGAAACACCAGTGACCGCAGCTGACATCCAATGTGCTTGAGAAATAAACCTTTGGGTTGTTTGTTGTATATATATAATTAGGGAAAGCTAATTAAAATATAAACATATATGAGCACTGCTATTTATTTCATCACAGGAAATCCTTGCAGCATCCATGGATTTGAGGACAGGACTCTAACATCTGGGTCCTCTAGATTCACACCAAATGTGTGTCCCTATATACAAACCTGCCTTCAAACATCTCAAGAAATGTCCTTGGGGACCTGAGCCTGGGCCAGTCTGTCTGAGTTGACTAAAGAGGTAATACGGAGAAGATGGGGTCTGGAACAGTGACTGGTACACATAGTGGTCCAGTATTTCATTAGATAAATGAGTGACTTGTTTGCATGTTAGTGTAGGAATTTTCAAGAGCCAGTCTATGGCTTGTTGATGATCTTATAGATATTTCCATTGGTTAAGAGCAAGATGAGGAAAATAAGGATTACATAGTGAATTGTTCAGACTCGATTTTATTTAATTTTAAAGACTTTTACATGTGGGCATGGGGCATACACCTGTAACCCTAGATACTCAGAAGGCAGAGGCAGGAGGATTGCAAGTTCAAGGCCAGCCTAGGCAACTTAGTGAGAACCTGCCCCAAAATAAAAAATAAGAAGGGTTGGAGATGTAGCTAAGTAGTAGAGTGCATGCACCAGGCCCTAGGTTCAATCTTCAGCACAGAAATTTTTTTAAAAAGAATTGTTAATTCACTTGACAAATTATTTACTAATTCCAAAGGGAAAAATGATAATTTAACAGTGTAAAGATCCAGTAGCCACCATTTTAACACAAGATGATCAGAGTTAACATCTCTTAAAATAGGACAAATCAACGTCATGCACCTTGACAAGGGACATATCATTTTTTTGTGGTATTTTTGGCAAAATGCATTACCCAAATATAATCCTGAGAAAATGCCTAACAAACTTCAACAGGGGGACATTCAGCTTTGTAACTGGCTTGCATTTTTCACATCCACACATAATGTCAATATCATGAAAGACAAAGAAAG